CTCTGCCGGCCGGCGCGCCGTTGCCAAGGCCTCCCCCCTCCCCCGGGCGGTTGCTAGGGAAAGTGAGCGCTCGAGGGGCGGGGGCACGAGCTGGTTCTTAAAGGGGCCCCGCCTTGGCGGTGAGAACGGGGGGGCCGAGGCTGGAGCAGGGGGGGACACTGGGCCGGTGAGAAGCTCCGTGAGGCGCAAGGCTGTCTCCGCTATTCTCCCCTCCTCGCCGTCTTCCCGGCTCCCGACAGCGGCCACCCTCTTCTCTCTCTTCAGCCCGCCGTGCCATTGTCCCCAGGCCGCAGACGGGGATGGCGACAGAACCCTGAACTGGGACTCTGCAGCCGCTGCGCATCCTCCCAGCCCAAGTTTGCAAACAGTTAAATATGATACAGCAGAAATGCATTTGCTGCTGCCTTGCCAGGCCCTGCGGGAATTTTTTTAAAAAACACTAGACACCCCCCCCCCCCTTGCTTATCCATTATTTATGTGTTCGTGGGAGTGTGGTTTTGTAACTAGTTCGGCTAAATTAAAACAAAAAACGCCACCGCAGAAAGGGAGGGGTGCAGAGGATGGGGCAGCGGGAGGCCGGGGATCTAGTCTAGCCGACTTATGACCGGGGCTGGGACGGCGACACCTGCCTGCCTGCACCCAGGAGGCCCCAGGGGCAGCCAGGGGGCCGCACCCCGCCTTGGGCCCCCACGTGGGTCATCCTGGGGTCACTGGGCAGAAACCGCCCGGGCGGTCATATCTGTGTGTTTTCTGATATCCCGGGCCCCTGCTCACGTCACTTCTGCCGCCTGCAGTTCCTCTGCTGGTTCCGCCATTGCTCAGAGCGAGACCAGACCTCTGCTTCGCATCTGGGAAGGGGCTGGGGGATCGCAAGGGGCCGCGAGTGGACACAGATGAGCTCTGCCCCGCAAGACGCTGCCTGCCTTTTATTCAGAAACGGTTTAAACACTATTATTTTTTCATCACACCAATAGTTTTGTTCTTTAAAAGGAAGAGAAAGAAAATACACATAAGGGGAGAAACACCCATATTGTTCATAATATCCTCCCTTGAGAAAATTATTGTTTACATCTTGACAAATCTTCCAGTCTCTTTTCTAGGCCTATAAAAAGCACGCTCACACATATTCTCTCTCTCTCTCTCTCTCTCTCTCACACACACACACACACACACACGCACACACAGTCAATTAAAACATTTTAAACAAAATGGGACTGTATTATTCACACCTCTCTGGAAGTCGCCTCTCCCTCTTATTGATATAAAGTGACACCTTTGTGTCACAAGCTGCAGCTCTTACCTTCGCTCGTGGCTGGGGTGGGGCTGAGATGGGGGTTGGCAGAAGGGGTGTTAAAGGTCAGCGGTATCTCGCTCACATAACTCGTTTGTTTAAAAAGAGCCTTTTTACATTTTTGTTCAGCACCACCAATTGTGGTTCCAAATCAACCACATAAAAATGCCAGCTCTGCACCCCTGCTGTTTTGTTCAATCGTTATCTTAGGAGACATTCCTGACCTCCCTTCCCCCCCTCCCCCCCTTACAATCATGCTACCAACGAACACTGGTCCCTGGTGAGGTCTGGTGTGCCAGGTAGATGGAGAGCTGCCTCCTGAGATAGAGATGGTGAATGAGTGTGTGTGTGTGTGTGCTGTGGATTTAAGAGACAGGTAGCAGGATAAAGTAGGTAAGCATGAATTCATTTATTAGTTCCTCCAGCAAGCGTCTGTGAGACCCTGTGAAGCACCAGGCTTTGGATTAAACCAGCAGAAAGCAAAGGTGGCCCCGGCTTGTGGTTTTCTTGGTTATTCTGTGAGTAGGCACCTGCCAATGCTGTGTGACTAGTGCAAGAGTAAAGGTGTGTCACTTTCTTATTTCTGCTTTAACAAATCACTGCAATTTTAGTAGCTTAAAACAACATGCCTCGTGGGTAAGGAGTTGCCCTGCCTTTCCAAAGGCAGACTGGTTCAAATACACCAGCTGTTTGGCAGGAGAAAGATGGGAAATCTCCTCCTACGCCACTTGACAGCCTCTGAGAATGCGCTGGAGGAGCATCAATCCATTCTGACACAATGGCGCCTAGCAACTAAGCAACACGAATATATCATTTTATGGGCTAAGAGATTCAAAAGTCAAAAATTAGTGTCACAGAACCAATGTCAAGGTATGGGCAAAGTAGGTTCTTCTGAATCTCTTGGTGAGACTTCTCTCCCCGCCTCTCCTGGTATCTGGAGGTGGCTGGCATTCCTTGACCCCACCACTCCAATCTTGGTTTCCTTCTGATGCCAACTTTCTGCGCTTTTCTTGAAAGTATCCTTGTGATTCCATTGGGTTCACCGGGTAATCCAGGAATCATCTCCCCAGCTCAGTATCTTTACCATAATCCTATCTACAAAGTTCCCTTCATCATGGAAAAGAACATATTCCGCAGGTCCTGGAATGAGGAAAAGGATATTCTTTGGGAGCTCTGGTGGAATGGTCGGTGGGATATTGTGGTGCTCACCAAGGATGCCTCTCCACGATGTTGGAATCCATCCACCAGTTGCTCAGCAGGAAAAGGATGGGGAGTCTCCTCTCAGTGAGAGTTACAGCTGCCACGCGTCAGACCTGACTGATAGGGGTGAGTGTGAGTTTTCCAGAGTCTGTTCCACCAGAATTCTAGATAAAGAATTAGCCCACTGCTTGGAGGAGGAGCCGCTGAAAGGGCTTCTCCCAGATGGAGGCCTTTGATTTGAGATTTGAAAGATGAATAGGAATTTGCCTGCAGATGAAGAATGAAAAACACAGCCCAGTAGAGGGATTCATTTGAGCCAGAGTTTCCAATTAGGGATGACAAATAGTCGGATCACCCCCCCCCCCCTTGGGACTGGCTTTGAGCAAGAGGCTGAGTGATCACAGCAAGCTATGAGGTGGAGTAAGAGCATTCACAGATGGTCCCAAGACTTACGTCTTGCCCTGGCCCCAGTACATAGGGCCTGTATTATTCCTTCTCTTAAAGGATGCAAGGGATTTGTTACGATGCTGGAATTTTACTCACATGATTATTGTTATAGGTGCTGACAAATTAGCTCCGATGTATAACAATCCGCTGCACAATTGAGTGAAATCTTGCCTGATCCGTGTCACCCTCACAATCTTGGCTGTTTTTTTGATGGGCGGGCGCTGTCTCACTCCATCTCCTTGACAGTCTTCCTTTTATTTTCCTTGGCTTTTGTGAGCATGAGGCCCTCCTGTCATTCAAACTAAAAACCCCACTCAAACACAGTTCCAACCCACAGCACCCTCCATCGAGTTTTGAGGCTGTAAGTTACAATGAGAAATCACCCATTTCTCACTAAGAAACCACTGGGGGATTTGAACCAATGAAGATGAAGGGCCATTGGGTTAACAGCACAACTTGCTACTAACTGCATCACTCGGACTCCCTCCTCCTGTAATTAGATTACTAACTTGTGGTTGCTGTGAAGCTGAACACTGTGACACTGATGTGTCAAATGCGATGACAATTACCCACGGTGGACAGTGTTTGGTGGTGCTCTCTGGTTGAAACAAGCTTGTAAGCAGGAGTGGCAACCGCTTCTGTAAATAGCTTGCCTCTGGAAACCCTACGAACCTGGAGAAAGGAGGAAAGTTATACAGGTGTCCAGGTCTTTCGTTCATAGGATTGCTATGAGTTGCCTACGATTCGGCGGCACTTAACAACAACAACAACATGTGACAAAAGTGAAAAGATTTCCCCTAGTGGTGCAGGCAACAGTGGTTTTCAGGGCTTGAGGGCTCCGGCCTGAGAATCAGCAGGACCTGAATTCTGTCAACACCCAGTGAGTTTGGAAGGGGAGCCTTTAGCTTCAGTTGAGACAGGACCTCTGCTGAAACCTTGGACTTAACCTTGCCGAGTCCCGAGCTAAGAACCCGGTTAAGCTGTTCCTCTACTTTAGTTTGCAGAACCTAAAATAAAAGAGGAATGTTTAAAGCCACCAAGATTGTGACAATTTGTTACATGGTAATAGAAATCTAATAAAGAAGGTCATACAGAAGGCAAGGGGGAGGGAAGACCTAGGCCACACACCTGAGTGAAACACTGCCTGCTCCCAAGCCAGCCTCCTGGTCTCCACATGCTTTAAGTTCATTGTTACAATCACTGTGGCAATCCATCCATCACCATATGGAGTATATTCCTCGTATTTGCTGACCCTCTAATAAGCATAGGAAGTTTTGGTCAAAATGAGCTATGAGGTTTGATAAGAGGTTTCAAGATGGTCTCAAGCTCCCTGCCCTCCCCCTGCCCTGGTATGTTGTTGTTGTGAGGTGCTGTCAAGTGGAGTATGACCCACAGAGACCTGAACCCCATCCTAACCTGTGCCATCCTCACACTGTCTGACACACTTGAGCCCATTGCAGCAGTCACCGTGTCAATCCACCTGACTGAAGGTCTTCTTCTCTTTCAAGGATCCTCAACCTTTCCAAGCAGGATAGCCCTTTCCAAGGAATAGCTTTTCATAGCAACATTCCCAATATAATGAAGCTTTATCATCCTTGCCTCCAAGGAGCACTCTGGCTGCACTTTCTCCAAGACATATCTGTTTGTTCTTTTGGCGGTCCATGAGATATTCAGCACTGTTCTCCAACACCACAGCTCAAAGGTATCAATTTTTCTGTCATCTTGATTCACTGTCAAGCTCTCAGATGCATAGCGAGTGATTGGAAAAACTATGGCCTCAATCAGGCACACCTTAGTCCTCAAACTGACATCATTGCTACTCAATAATTTGGTGAAGTTGCTGACTGCAGATTTTCCCAGCACCAATACGTGCCCTGATTTACCAACTGCTGGTACGTTGCATATTGATTGTGGATTCAAGTAAGATAAAATTGTTGATAACTTCAATCTTTTCTCCATCTATCACAATGCTGCCTATCACTCTAGTGGTAAGAATCTTTGTCTTCTTGACATTGGCAGTCCATACTGGAGACTGTATTCTTGGGTCTCCTGCAGCAAGTGCTTCGAAGTCCTCCTCACTTTCAGCAAACAAGGTTGTGTCATGTACATAATGCAAGTTCTTGATGAGTCTTTTTTTTTTATGAGTCTTTTGATCTTGATGCCACATTCTTCTTCAGAGTCCAGCTTCTCTAATGGTTTATTAAGCCTACAGTCTAAATAGGTATGAAGAAAAGATATAATCCTGAAGCACGCCTTTCTGAATTTTAAACCATGTATTGTTCTCTTGCTCTGTTCGCACAGCAGCCTCTTGGTCCATGTCTAGGTTTCTCATGAGCACAATTGAGTTTTTGAGATTCCCATTCTTCTCAATGTTAGCCACAACTTGTTATGATTCACATAATCAAATGCCTTCACATAGTCAATAAAGCATAAATAGACATTCTCATGGTGTTCTTTATTTTCAGCCAGGATGTATCATCAGCAATGATATCTCAATGCCACGGCCTCTTCTAAATCCTGCTTGAACTTGTGGCAGTTGGTTCCCTATGTATGTACTGTTCCACATAGAATAAAGAATGACCTTTAGCTATATTTTAATGGTCTTTAGCAATATTTTGCTTGTATGTGATATTAATGATATTGTTAGATAGTTTTCACATTCTGTTGGATCACCTTTCTTGGGAATGGGAACAAATATGGACCTCCTTTTCCAGTCAGTGAGCCAGGCAGCTGTCCTCTAAATTTCCTGGCATAGACTGGTGAGCACGTCCAAAGCTGTATCTATTAGTTGAAACAGGTCAATCGGTATCCTATTGAGTCCCGGGATTTTTTGCCAATGCCTTCAATGCAGCTTCAACTTCCTCCTTCATTACCATTGGCTCCTGCTTGTATGGAACTTCCCGAAATTATTCCGTGTCAGTCAGTTCTTTTTGGTACAGTGACTGTGTTTATTCTCTCCATCTTCTTTTGATGCTTCCTGGGTCATTCAATATATCGTCCATAGCATCTTTCAATATTGTGACTCGAGGCTTAAATTTGTTTTTCAGTTCTTTCAGCTTAAGAAATGCCAAGTGAGATCTTATCTTTTCATTTTCTGGTTCTGTGCACAGGCCATTATATCACTCTGCTTTATCTGCCTGAGCTTCCCTTTGAAATCTTCTGTTCAACCCTTTTACTTCAGCATCTTTTACTCGTGGTATACAGTTCCTATATTATCCCTTCTCCTAGAAAATGCATGTGATTTATTAATACACTGGGATTTTACCAACATGATTGTTCTTAAGTGCTGACAAATTACACACAGTTCAAATCTACCAACTGCTCCATGTGAGAAGGATGGGCATTCTTCTCCTGTGTAATTTACTGCCTCTGAAAACCCACTGAGGTGGCCCTCAGCTGTGAGTCAATTCTGACTCTACGGTACACAACAACAACTACTGAATATAATGTCCTTCTCCATGGACTGTTTCCTCCTGAAAACAAGCCCAAAGTATGTGAGATAAAGTCTTATCATCCTTGCCTCCAAGGAGCCTTGTAACTGCACTTTGGCCAAGATAGATTTGTTTGCAATTTTGTCAATCTATGGTCTGAATACTCAGTGTCTTTTGCCAAAACCATAATTCAAAGACATCATTGTGCAACTTTTCCTTAGAGACCATTATTATAATAATAATAATTTACTTCGAACGGCTTCCCCAGTTGGACACTGCTCATACTTAGAGTTGATCGGATCCCTGGGGCCAGTTGTTCCCAGGACACGACACCGTGACTCAGTGACCTCCATCAATCAGTAGAGGGTGGTTGGGATTCATGCCTGTGTGTCTGCTCTCTGCATCTCTGCTATCAGGCGGAGGTAACTGTTTAATAAATATCTGCTACATATTGAGCAAGCAAATCCTCCGAGCTGGAGACTATGGAGTGGGGAGTAAGGCTTTGCTAAAAAGGATTTGCCTGCGCTTGCAAAGGAAAAGGCTTAAGGATGTCAGAGCAGAATGCATGTCAAAGGCTTAGAGCATCAGCCTGGTGTGACCGAAACACTCAGACTGCTCTTGACGCTCTGAAGAACGCCACAAGTGGGCTAGAATAGCTGCCTCCCTCTCCCACTGACGGCCGCTCCACGTTCAAGTTCTAGAATGGCTATTCCCTTCTTGTGGCCAAAAGAGAATCACAGGAGCAGGGAACCATGGCACAGGCTTTCATTCTGTTCCTGGAGGGCTAGGATTAAAACAAGGAAGGTAGCATCACGTTGTGGTTGTTGTTATGTGCCAGCAAGTTGACTACAACTCATAGTGACCTTATGAACAATTGCTCTGAACCCTGCTCTATCTTGAGCCAACCTCACTGTCTCCAACACACCTGACCGCATGTCCCCAGTCATTGTGTCAATCCCTCTCATCTTGGGTCTTCCTCTCCTGCACTGTCTCTTTACCCTTCAAAGCATGATGACCTTCTCCAAGGACTGGTTCCTCTTGGGCATGTGTCCAATGTATGTGAGATGGAGTTTCAAATTCCTTGTCTCTACAGGCCATGGTCTTTGCAATCACTTGTTATGCATCAGAGAGTTGGACAATGACTAGGGAGGATAGAAGGA